AAGATCAGTACAGATGGATTTGAAGGTACTGTATATTCTTCCTGTTATCAGATTTTATATAGCAAGAAGTACTGTATGCTGTAATATCGATGAAAGCCATAGTATTTAAATTTGAGAAAAAGTGTAAATTTTGTCAAAATAACACACGGTCAAACAAAAATTATACAGGTTTCCCTCCAATAACCACTCTGTCTGCCAGTGTTTGAAAAAACAGTATCAGCCACCACCAGATATTTTAGCGAATTTTAACACTTTTCCAAAGCTTGTTTAGAGTGTGTAGGTGATCAGATTGACATGTACTGAATACTACAAAACTACAAACATCTTAGCTCTACAATCGTACCAAATACTTTATTCTAATTACAATCTATGACCCGTAACAGTAAAATGAAAATGACTCGCTTTTGTAGATTTACGTAACTTCGCACAATGAAGCTGAGATAATCGCAATTTCGTGAAATTTACGTCACTACCGCTATGTTCAATGTAAACAAAGAAATAGTGAGTTACTTAGGGTCCAGACTGAATATAATGTTCAAATTGTTAGAATTTGTCAGTAATTACCCCATCTATCAGATTCCATAGAAAAACCTGAAACACAGAGAACTGGTGGTTAAGCGTTTAAGAAACAACACATTAAAAATTCTCTATTTTGAAATTGACTTTTAAATGAGGAATCCCATGTTGAAATCACCAATCTGTGCTGGCATTTTTGTAAGAATCAATTTAAATTAATCTGTGAATTTAATTTAAATAGAATCTTGGAGAAAAAAAGAAATCAGACAAATGTCAATGTGGATACTCATGCAAATTTTCAAAAAAACTGTTAACACCTTTCATATGAAAAAATTATACTAGTAGTTGTTCAGAATTTAGAATTCAGTCTGATGAAGTATTTTGATGGGCGTCTGTGCTGAGTTTGTACATTCTTACATCAATTCTAGACATTTCAGAGTTTTCATGATTTGTGTATAGTATTTTTTTAAATTAAAAAATATGTTGCTGAGAGTTATATTGATTCATAAGATTTATTTTTCTAGTTGGTTTTATTTGAATAATTTATTTATGCAATGGAATTCACTACTTTTCTAAAATCTGTGTAGTTGTGTTATTTTTTATAGGTGCGGCAATTGCATAAATTCTTACTACTAAAGCAATTTCTATCCCTATACTTCCGAATTCCCTTTAAACCATTCAATCAAAGTGATGTTGTAGAGAATTATGTTAAATAAAATTATATGTAGATTAATAATTTAATTCACATTAATTGATTTCATCTCATGAAACATTGTTAAAAAGTTGTTTTATGCAATACCTCATAATACTTAGTGCAAGGGGAGAGTTCATTTTATATAGTGCCTACACCAGTTTTCACGAATGCTCCCTTTATATTTTTTATATATATTTTACCCTTCTGTAAGTGACAAATTTGCTGTTTGTTGGGTATCAAAATGTAATAAAAATAAATAAAATACAGTTTATATTATTATGCAAGCATAATCTGTACTAAAATTTAAACTGAAAAATGTATTTTAAACATCCTTGTACATTATCATTTTTTACATTTTCATATTTATTTTTTAATAATTTCTGAATTAATAGTGTACAGTATAAATTGCTTTACAGAATGAATGACAATACTAATTGGCTGGAATTAATTAAATTACTTAATTGTACATATTAGTCACGTGTGAAAGATTTCTGGTTATATTTATTATACAGAAAAAAATTAACGTTAAGTGAAATTTTGTAATTTATTTTTGAACCCACCTATTTTGTTTCCAAATATTATTTGCTAAACTGCTCTCTGTTGCACAATATTTGCTGTAATAATAGACAAAGTATAAAATAAGATATAAAAATATGCGATATGATGTACTGTATTGAAATTTCCTCACCTCATTTTTCTTGAGTGCAATGTATGTTGACATTGCATGAAATGCGAACATTCAGTTTCCGTTATTGAGCAATAAAGTTCTTTATATCTTATCTTAGAAAACCAGCTGGAAAGTAAATTTCTCTTTTGATTGCATCATATGAATGTTTTCATCTCTATACTGTAATTCATAGCTTAATCATTTTAATATATTGCTTATAATACAGTAGGCATAAGGTTTTGCATATGGTATCATCCCCATTGTTAGTATAGAGTTAGTTAACATGCCTGGCAACAGAAATCCTTGCAATTCACATAAAACATTCGTCCTACATTCGTTGTGGATCACATCTGTCTCTTATACACATCTAGATGTGTATAAGAGACAGCATCTTAGCTCTACAATGGTACCAAATACTTTATTCTAATTACAATCTGTGACCCGTAACAGTAAAATGAAAATGACTCACTTTTGTAGATTTACGCAATTTCACACAATGAAGCTGAGATAATCGCGATTTCGTGAAAGTTACGTCACTATCGCTATGCTCAATGTAAACAAAGAAATAGTGAATTACTTAGGGTCCAGACTGAATATAATGTTCAAATTGTTAGAATTTGTCAGTAATTACCCCATCTATCGGATTCCATAAAAAAACCTGAAACACAGAGAACTGGTGGTTAAGCGTTTAAGAAACAACACATTAAAAATTCTCTATTTTGAAATTGACTTTTAAATGAGGAATCCCATGTTGAAATCACCAATCTGTGCTGGCATTTTGTCATTTGTAAAATGAAGAAATTTAATTATTGTTAACATATGAATTGATTATGAAGTGTATTACTAGTGTTTAGGTTTTTGACTCAAATGATTCCCAATGTTACTATAATAATGTTACTATCTTACCACACTATTTGAAAATAAAATAGTATTACTGTACTATACGTTAATGTATATCATTATATCCTTTATTCATCTTTAAAATATAAAATGATACAAGGATAAAATATAAAAAATATATAATTTAAAAAAAATAAACAAATAAGGCTCTAGGTTACAGATATGATATATATATATATATATAATAATATATATATATATATATATATAATATCTATAGATATAATATATATATAGATATGTATGATAGTAAATAGTTCAACAATGGTTTATTTCCAATAAAAATATTTGATAATTGGAATAAGTTACATTTTTAAATCATACGTTAAAAAAATTAAATGTACCATGATGTGTTATTGACTGATAGATCAATACAGGTAATGTGATAAATATAATTATATTTTAATCTTGGTTAATTACAATGAAATAATAGTTAGTATATCTTTTATCAATTATATAATAATGTGATTTTAATAGATGGAAGTATGATTATCATTTTGATGTTAGAAAACCAGATTGTCTGGAACCATGATACCATTAACATATTGTAAATTGTATTCAGGTCGATTATTACATGCAATGAGTGTATCTCATTTATGAATCTCATTAGCATTTTCCAAGGATTTGTTTGATTAAATTGCATTAGCATTTTTCTTCATTTTCTCTGTAATGGTTATATTAGGTTTAAATGATAGTTAAGTATGCTAAACACTGTTATTTTACACTTTATAACCTGTTCTTATTTAATGTGAAAATTGACTACATGTCACACAATGATTTTATATAAACATCCCTCTTAATATAATAGACATTCCCATTACACAATGAATTCTTACTATCCATTTGTGCAAATTTTCATAATGGACTTAATTTATAAGAACAGATTTTCCAGATTAAAGTAAATATAAATATTCGTCATTATCACCATCATGTATACATTTTTGCTCCAGTTTTTAAAATATTTTAAGTGACTACCTACTTTCTTCATATTTTATATTATGTGTTATGTTATATACTGTACATTTGTCTTTTGATTTAGTTCACTTTTAGGGTTCCCTGTGACATGTTTTAACTTTCTGTTGCTGTACCATATATATTGTTATTGTTCTATTATTTCTATTATATTTATCCTTTCAGACAATTAAATGAAGTGAAATTATCATATATCATCGTTATATCATAGTTTTCATCATTATCACTTCTATTATTAGTCATGCCCATCGTCTTCACTTTATCGTAGTTGTCCCCGACATTGGTTTATGATCGCTAAGCTCCTAGCATGTGTGCAAAGTAGTGGTAGTATCATTGTCATTACATTTTCATAACATATTCTTTAATGCTACTGATATGGTCTATTCTGAAGTGTTGGTTATCTTGAATCTTTGATTGTATAGCCCACGAAAGTCTAGAAGACATATTTCTAGTGAGGTTCTTCTAGTGGTGATTGGGCAGTACACTGAGAGACAATCCCCTACTGTGTCCAAACGTGCATGTAGCCCATAAATGTACACAGGACCAACAGGTTAAACGTCTCATCTGAAAGACGGTGCGCTATTGTAACTTATATTCCAGCCCTCCAGCTGAAACACAAGGAGAGGCAGTGATGGGAATTGAACTGGTGGCCTAGGGATCTCACGGTTCAGCGCACACAAGGTGGTTACCAGCAGATTAGCCGACTGAGCTAAGCTGTTCTCTATGCTCCTGTACGTTTGTATTCTTTTGGACATTGGACGCCAGTCTACAGTACCAGCTGCTTTCCCCCATTATCATCTTCTGAATGTCTCACATTCAGAAGATGATAATGAAACATTTCAAAATGGATTGACACTTTAAAAATCTTACCATACCGTATCTCTCTCTATCTAGTACTATTATATTCAATTTTTGTTTGTAATTTGACCATTTAATTTCATTTCATTTATTTCGCCAGTTAAAACAACAATACAAGGACAAAAAAAGACAGGACAACACCCTTGTCGGCGAAAGGATAAAAAAAAAAGCAAATTTAATTGCTGTAAACAGTTTTTTTCCTCCAACAAGTGCAGTTACAATGTTTGTAACAATGTCATATCACATCCATAGGGAATGGTGATATGACCATATATGGGCATAATGGTGTCATACTCTATTACTCCCACATAAGGGCATTATGATGTCATTGTCATATCAAATCCAAATTTATTGATGAAATATTTTGAATTAAATTTTTGTTATCATTTCCAGTGTCCGGGTACTTGGATCCATACACGATGCCTATAGATGTAGCGCAGCAGATGGCTCAACAATCAATGCAACCGATGATGCCCATCCCCCCACAACAAAGTAGAGCAGAATCGCCCCCACCCCCTAGAGTTTATAAGCCATGTTTTGTATGTCAAGATAAGTCATCTGGCTATCATTATGGCGTTAGTGCTTGTGAAGGTTGTAAGGTAAGCTACGTTGCATGATTTATTATTCATCCATTTCTATGAATATTCATTAGACTATGAGCCTGTCGACTATCACCTCCCCTCTCTTCTGTCCTCCCACACCAGTTGTCCAGCCACAGGCTGAATCTACCCACCAGTGAAATCAGGCCTCAGTGCGTAAATTGACATTTCATTGCAAATAAGCTATGTTGCATGATTTATTATTCATCCATTTTTATGAATATTCATTAGACTATCAGCCCATCAACTATTTTCCCCATCCTCCCACCAGTTGTCTAGCCACAGGTTGAATCCTACCTACCAGAGAAATCAAGCCTACATAAAATTTGACATTTCAATGCAAATTTTCTATATCATATACTTTATTAAATAATAACCTTTCGGCTATGTGCGTATGTCAGTTAAAATAATGTGGAACATTGGTTTTTCTCTACTGGTTATGATATTAGTTTGTAAGAGTGAATACATTTTTCTAACACAAATTAAAATTTACATTGCGTTACCGTAGTCAAACTTCTTCCAAGTCAAATAATTCATCACAGCCACTTTCTTGAGGCGAGGTTGTACTTTTTATTTTAAAGTAGATGACGACCACCTTTTTTATTTTGAACATAGTATTATTTGAGAAAAATGATTCTGGTCATCTAAAGGTTTCTTCAATAAAATTTCTTTTCTTAGCCCAGACTATGGTCAGGCTAATGTGGGAGAATGCCTGTGTTAACTACGGTTTCTATAGCATGTCTTCATCCATCAGTCTATCCGTCCATTAATCAATCAATTAATTTGTACATCATTCTTCATTCATTCATTTTTTTCACCCAACTTTCAATTCATGTATTCATTTATTCATTAATCCATCTATTAATTTGTTCATTCTCCATTCATTTATTCATCATTCTTTTATTTACCCATTCATTTATTTATTCTTTGGTTTACTCATCCATTTTTTTTATTTATGCATTAATGCTTTAATATGTTTTTAAATTCATTCAACTAAGTACATTCATTTAGCCGTCCATACATATATCATTTTGGTGTTCATTTATCTATGCTATTTCATTTAGTCAGTCATTCTTTATCTATCCATCTATCATTCCATCCATCCATTCATCTTTTATCAATCCACCTATCATCCATCCATTTTCTGTATTCTTTTATCCAAGTATTCCATAATCCATAAATAAATCATTCATTTTGAGATTGGAATTCTTAGTATTAATTTTTGTCACATTTTATCCTCAAAAATCTTGTTACAAATTCCAAAACTTATTTTTAGAATCCAAAACTTGTCAACAGTATCCAGACATCCATCATGAATAATTTACAGCCAATTGAGATGTCTAGAGATATTTACTTTATTTAGTATTGTATACGATGTTCCTATGACGAAGTTGATTTCTCAGAATCGTTTCATTGAAACTCGCCCTTAAAGTGCATGAACCCAGTTTTAATGCTTTCAGAATGTAGACACAGGACATGAAAGTAAAACTTAATGGACCTTTTCCATGTAGACACACTCCTTGGATATTGTTGCTAAGGCCCACAAAAGGACTGTTTAAGCGTATGTGCATTAAATTTTGCCGTACGACATGTCTGCGGAACACAAGCACGTAATCCTAGCCCTACTGTATTCTATAAATTGGTCAGTTTTGGACTTTGACAGTACAGATAGTACATTGTAACATTGTACTGTAGTTCCTTGCGTATAGGCCCAGTTATAAGCCCATTCTCTACTTTAATCCCAATTTCACGTACCAGGCTTTTCTTGGTATGGTTTGAATAAGTAGCTTGTATGTATGTAATGAGGGATGTAATGATATTGCTATTTTAATTCTTCTAAAGTTCATGCAATTCATTTTAGCTGTGTTGGTGGTTTACCACACACACCATCATTAAACTGTTCTGTGTTAATCGGTGGTTGCCCTGTTTAAATTAATACCAACAGCATCATCAAAAGCAACTGAACTTTAATATGTAATAATATTTAATTACTTTACGTATCAAATTGGATAATAAGGTATTGTTGAATTTGGCGTCAATCGTATCGTGTAATATACTTTTAACACCTGCACTAATTATCTACATGGCCAAAATATTAGCGCAAACATTTATTTACACAATTGTACTCAAACTTAATTAAAAAATATGTTATGTTTTAAAATGCAAATAATATGGAAAGATTTTAGGCTTCCATGAAGGTATACATAAAACAAAAACAAAAAAATGAATAGGTCTATTTCGGTGTCAGCATATCCAGGGTCGTCGTACATACGTCTGCATTAGTAATCATTGCCGTCGCAGATGTCTAAGTTGGATATTAATATTTGTAAACAAATATTTAAATGTAAACAGAGAATTTAATTGAAATATTATAAAATAAAATAGAAAATATAAATAGAAAATATAAATAGAAAATATAAATAGAAAATATAAATGTAAAGTATAAATATAAAATATAAATATAAAATATAAATATAAAGTATAAATATAAAATATAAATATAAAATATGAATGTAAAATAAAATAAAGTAAAATAATGTAGGTTGACTAGGAAAATTTTTGGTACTATTCCCTAAAATTCATCATCTTTAATATTCGATTCCTCAATTCCAATTTAGAAAATATATTTGAGCCTGTGTTTCTGTCATTACATCACTATCATTATTATCATCCCCTTCATCACCTTCATCACATCATCATCATCATTGACAGTATCATATTATCATTGTCACAAATTTGTTTCAGGCTAATTGCTGATTCTCTTTCTCGGCAAATTTACAGTATACATTTAATCTTGAAATTCCAAATAAATATTATTATTATTATTATTTATCACATTATCGTCATCATCTTTATCATTACATCAATTATAATTTCTTTGTATGTTTTTTTATGAAGACAAATACAATTTCTGGTATCTTGTGTCACATCATTATGATAATTAGAACATCATTATCATCACCATTAATTTAATCATCTCTACAACTGTACTATTAGTGTCTCATCATCCTTGTTGCATTATCATCATCATCACCACCACCATCATTTTCATCACAAACTTTCTCTGACGAATTGGGAGGGATTGCAAAGAATGGAGAGAGAGACTTTGAGGAGTGTTGATTGGCACATTGTGAAGAATCGGGAGAGGACTTCAGAGGAAAAAAAGCATTTTAATGAGGATGAGAATGAGGACTGTAAGGAATACAGAGGGAACGTAACAAGGGAAGTAGAAGGGACTTTTGAAAAATAGGGAGGGTGACTAGTGAGCAATTGGAAGGAGACTTGAAGTAAAATCATCAGATGATGAGCTGTTTCGGTTCAGTATGCAGTTGGCTATAAGGAGTTGGTTTAGGTTAATGGAAAGCACCCATCAGGAAATACATTAAATCATGTTCATATCTAATAAAATGCTTATGTATTACTTGCATCTATTGTAAACTACTTAATCAGTGAAACATTGTTCATGACCAAATACAGTATATCATGAAACTAATAGGTTTGAATTAAACATTCACAGAAAATAGCAGTCAGAAATGTACTATTTGAGGTCTTTGAATTCTAGTTGAACTCTAGGTGACCTGTGTGTAATTGTTGTTAGAATGATGCAAAGTGTACTACTACACTCTGCTTGTGGTGGATGTAGTGTTGGCTTGCTGTCATTTGACGTTTCTATTATCAATTACGGTTTTCCTAAACTTTTGAACTCTTCGTTTTCTCTAAGGATGAACATAAATGCTGCTGCAATATTATTTTATATTTTAGTTTAATATTTGCCTATGAATCATCACTGGGCAAATAATTTGGGGAAATAGTTTGCTTATAAAAAAGAAAGAGATACAATGGCTGAAATGAACCTGTTGTTTGAGAAGAGAGAGGGCAAAAGTACCTTCCAATTTGAAAGTCAGGATTATTGTATGGGTCTGTGTGTTATTTGCTATCATTCCATAGTGTACATGAGATCTTGCATTATTGTTATGCTGAATCGTATTGTACAGTACCATAGCATATTGTTAAGGTCTTAATGTATTAACGTCGTCTTGTTTAATCATGTTATTCCATAACTACAGTATAAGGATGGAAGTTGTATATGTTTCAGCTTTTTTTACCTGTATATCCATTTTAACACTCTAAATTTGTAATTTAAGTGCCACACTCAAAAAACCTTTTTTTTTCTTAAATATGCACTGCACTAAAGCGCCATAGCACTTATTAGATCATTATTTACAGTACTTAACTTTGGATCCGTAAATGTTAAGGTGTAATAAAAGCGTAATATAAATAAAACAACCAGAAACAGATAGAAGCCTTTAAGGCTTTTGCAATCCAGTTTTGAATAAAAAGGCCAAATCTAATAGATTTGTCCTTTTTCTTCAAAACTGGATTATTATTATAATGATGCTGATCCAAAGACAAAGAAAACTTATATACCAGTACCACCACTGATTACAATTTCTGTACTCAATGCTAGAGGTCTTATTAGCACTGTACATCATTACATAGCTCCCTGCTATATGTCTGAGGGTTACAGTAGGTTAAAAGAAGTGAACTCCTCACTGTTGATGTTTATTTATTTGGTAGCATCTTTGAATTGCGGCACTCATCAAAGCAGGGCTTTTAGAATTATTTCTTAACAAAGTAGCACTTGAATTAAGTAACACAAACCAGCTAGAAAATGATTTAGAAAGTAATACGATATGACATGCAGCAATGAAAAGGTTTAAAACTGCTCTCAAAAACTCACATTTTTAAAATTATGTATTCTTTAATAGCACTGTGTGACCATCTGTGTAAGTAAGAATACTTAATAAATATTAAAATTATTATTACAATCTGTCTTTTCACATGGTCTGAGATTGATAAAGTAAATTATGATAATGTAAATACCATATTGTTTTTAATATTACAGTTAATTGTAGAATACAATACTAATCTTTCTTTATTCTTTCGGATAAGTCAATAAATTGCGACAGTATTGTATCAGTTAATTGGTGAAGAAAAATATCAAAGAGAAAAAAGATTGGCTTTTTTTTCCTAAGTCAGACATGTAGTTTTGAAAATTAATTGTGTTTTTATTGACAATCTTGATAAAGTTGGAGAGTTTTCTGAATATAGTCACATTCACTAAAATCAGGCCAATTTCATGTTCAAGGAATGTGGGCTTATTATACCAGAGAAACAATAGTAGTATAACACCAGCATTGCCTGCTGTAGCATTGAGTAATTTCTACAATTAAAAAGAAATAGAAATATAGATTGGCAATTTTTATATCTTTTTTATTTTTGTAGACTACAGAATGAATGTATTTATTCCTTACATTTACTTTTAACAAAGGATGATTGCTCTTGTAACACAGTTTAAGATAGGACTCTATCATAATAGAACATTTTAGAATCTTTTAACACAGTTTAAGATAAGACTCTATCATAATAGACATTTTAGAATAATATTTTATTATTTCTCAAGCACAATGCAATACGTGATGAGAAAACTAGAACACAGATCAAGACGACTTTATACAAGGTTGTCTTAATAACACAATGATATTGTTGTATCATCTTGAAAATCTGATAAAGTTTCCATTGTTTAATTTGAAATCTCTGGCCGTAAAGGTTTTTCTGTCATCGTTGAGATTCTGTAAAAGCCATGAACCATTTTCGAAGATGGGTCATAGTTAAACCTATGACCAAAAGCTCAGCAATATCCTTGCATTGATTGGGATTAACATAATCCTGCGGGATTACTCTTAGGAATAATGTTCCGCCAAGGACAAGCCTTTGTCGGTACTGTAGGAGTTTTTAAATGCTATAGTATGTTATATTGAGAATGAAAGTCTTGTTCAGTTCTTAGATAGGTTTTTTAGTACTTGGCGAAGCTTAGTTTCTTTCTAGTTTGCTTTGTGTCGGAAACTATCCTGAGATCCTTCTGTCGCCAGTCCACTGAGGGAAAATGACAGAAAATAAGTTTGAAATCAGCAAGTAAAAAATATGTAGCTACACAAAAAATCTAGATAGAATACAGATGAATTTGAAAATAGCAATCTTGGAATTCTACAAATTTGTTTGAGTTTGATTCTTATCTTTTTCTTTAATCATTAAATTTCCTGTCACTTCTGAGTAGTCTGTTCTTAAGATTTAACATTCAAAATTGAAAGTAAATGTATAGTCTATCATAGAACCTCTCAAAAATCTTATTAAAACATTGGAGTAGCTCACTTTAATGAACCAAATAATTAAATTCAAATATATACCAGACCGAATGTTGATTTAAAGTTCAACTTTTAAATTCCAAAAATTGTAAAAACTAGTTGCGATACTAGATAATTTAAAAGTTTATTGGAAAAATATATTTACATACATACATATATAGTATCTGTAATTTGTTTTCTCATTCTAAAAATTTTACTTGAAAGCTAATTACTTGGTTAACATATAATATTGAATTTTATTTATTTGATGATGATGATGATGATAATAATTATAGTTCAATCTTGATTAAGTGTACAGTACTTTCCTGAAAGCCTAAATTTGCTTTACATTAGAAATAAAAATTCCTAAATTTAAGCAAAATATAAATTAAAAAGATGTGTTTTGAGTAGTTTGAGTTTCGGTTGGTAAGTCATTCCAAAGGTCCACAGAGAAATGACCGACTTCCATAAAATTAAGTTGAAACTAACTATATAGACAGTGTCCTTAAACTATATCATAATTGTGTTGTTTTTGTGGTAAATTTTGGCATCATCACACCATATTCCTCAAGCTGTCATGAAGCTATCATGTGACCAAGTGTCTTGGTCTCGTGCGATTATAATATGTGTTATCATTTATAAATAACTGTTATAATTATTTCTAATTCGTTAACTTTTCAATTTTTTTTATCAGTAATTGAAAAATAAAATTTTTGTTGCAAATCAACTTTTCATTTGCAAATTCTACAGATTAAGTTTTGTTTGTTTATCTCCTAATTTTCAGGGGTTTTTCAGAAGAAGTGTTCAAAAGAACATGCATTATACATGTCATCGTGACAAGAAATGTGTCATCAACAAAGTCACTCGCAACCGGTGCCAACATTGTAGATTACAAAAATGTTTTGATGTTGGAATGTCAAAAGACTGTAAGTGATAAAACCAAGTCAATATTAAACTTTACCCAATAATGTGTATTACAAGGCCTTGTGGGTGTAGAAGTATTCATGAGATCGAACAACCTCATAATAATTTACAAATATCATGAAATGTATTGCGGGTAAAAAGTGATATTAAATTTTAGAGATATATATGAATTGAATAATATAGATTTTCCTATAAAATGCTACTCCCAGGCTTACATATGCATGCCTTTGTATGACGTATATACATTTTGTTATTCTTGTTAGTTTTAAAATTTGGTATTTGGTATAGCGAGTATTGATGTCATACAGTATGTGCATGCAAAATGGACAATATATTGCCTTACAGCAGCTTCTATCAAGTGTGGTTGAGAAATGATAAAGCCACGTGCCAACAAGTTATGCACATTCGGTGCTGTTAGTTCCAAACCTTAAATGTCAGGAATTAACACATCCGAATCTCTATAACAAGAACTTTTTAATACGAGATCAAATCACTCAGATGCGCATGAGTATACAGCACTACAACATGGTTCATTGCATTAATATGATATTTCTCCCATGTGTTTCGCAGAATATGTGATTTTTATTATTCTCATTAAATGTGCATAATTAAAGTAATCTGTTTGATCCATTCTGATTAGAATGTTAATTGTATATGTATTATATTTCAGATGTGAATGATTAGTCAAAATGAATTGAGTAGAGTAGTAGCTTGGCGGTCGAAAATACTACTGCCACTTAAAAAATCAAGAAAAACACCTCAAAAAATTAAATAAAAAACTTTCTGAATTGCTCATTTAAAAGAACAATATACGTTATTGACTTTCAATAAATTACAGATTGAAAAAAATGACTTAGAAAGTCCTTATATTTGCTACCAGTTTTAGGATTATAAATAATCAATTGAACTTGGGTCATCAGCATCAAAGGCAAGTGTCCTACAGTACTCTTAGCCACAGTGATGTATTTGAAATATTTATATTTTGATACTAATCAATTGCCTTTCACATCTGGAGATTACTGATCTCTGCTCTTAATATTTAATTTCATATTGAAGTTCATCAATTTTATAGAGACACTAACATTTTAACCTTTCACCAGGTTTTTTTTTTATCAGTGGTATAGGCATAGGGCATGTTTCTACTGGTAAACACAAAAAAATTGATTTTTTTTCTAACTACTTTTTTAATGAGTACCAGACAGCCAACAAATGCATTTTTGCTTTTACGAAAGTCGGTTTTTGCGGCGGAAATTATGTCAACATTTTGTTTATACAACACGTTTTCCAAACTGTATAGTCACATTTCAATCGCTTTTTGTTTTGCTGATAAAAAGTGCACAGCCAAAATCGGTTATTTGCCGTTCAAACACGGTATCCATTGCATGTTTTTAATCAATTTTTTTTAATCGCTTCTTTCGAACTGGTTCTGTTTCTACTGCAAGAAAAAAAGTGATTATTTAAAAAAGCGATTTTTAATCGATTTTTTATTTCCAGTAGAAACAGGCCCATAGTATCGATATTAATACTTCTAATTTACCAGATTTGATTACAATTCCAGGTGTTAGGAATGACAGGAATAAAAAGAAAAAAGTGAAGCAAGAAGTATCAGAAAGTCTAGTGATTCCAGCGGAGATTGAGGAAGTGATCCAACAGGTACTACAAGCCCACCGGGATACCTTCCAAGAGGAACCTGCAAAAGAAACATTCTGTGTGGTAAGTTAATGTATAGTTAGCTGTTATCTGCCAGTCATGAGAGGACATATGACAGCATATGTGACATCAAGTGTGATTAATGAGAACTTACTGATGTTAAGTACTGTTACTAATGTGAGAATGTGGTGCATAAAGCCCTTTCCACACTATCAAATTTGGTTTGACAAAAACATGTGACATGCCTAAATATGGTCATGATGACATCATACCGTGATCATATATTTAGGCTCATCTTGACTATATATGGGCATACAATAGTTTTTTGTCAAATGAAATTTGATAGTCTGGACAGGGCTTTCTTGTGGAGCATCTCTAAAAAATGAGAGGCTACAATAAGTCATCAGGAGTGGATTTAAATGAATGTTACGGTTGTGGTGGCTTTTGTGATGTATTGATGATGTAATTTGTGATTGTGACGTTAGTAGTGGTAATATGGCAGTGATGGTGGGTATTACGATGGTGCTGATGTTAATAGGGTAGTTATGGAATGGGTGATGATTTTAATGGTGGATCATGTTGATAAATGGTGATGTTAAACATTATGGTGGTGATGGTATCATTCATGGTTATTATGATGGTAAAAGTAGCAATATTGATATAGGGATGATGCCAAGGGTGTGGAAGTGATAATGATTATTCTGATGATGGGAGCAATGATAATAGTGATAATGTTAGTGCTGAGGGTGGTGGTGGTGATGATGGGTGGTGGTAATAAAGATAATTTAATGGTAATGAACCATGTTGATATATTGGTAATGATAACTGTGTAGTGGTGTTTTTATTAGTTGTGGTAGTGGCTATTATTATGCTGGTAATGGTAGTAAATGTTAGTGGTGGGGGTAAATTTATGGTAATGGTGATTACAATGTTGATGGAGACAAAAAACTCTATTGTCCAAGTAAGGAGTTCAAGTTTTGTGCAAAAATACCTTTTGTATACTGTACATTACTGTACACTTTTCACTTACAAATTTCTAAACCTTATACTCATTTAAATATCCTAAAAATAAATGTGTTGAGCAAAAATAATTAAGGATAGTTTCTATTTGTTCTGTTGTTTATCCTCAATATTATATTGCTAAATTTTCACCTTACTCAATAAAATTAACACCAAAACCATTTTATTCACTTTAAATAATATTAGAAAAACTTGTGGATACCAACACTTTTTGTATCCAAAACCTTCAAATGTTTGTTTAAAAAGGTGTTGGAATATTTCTAAATCTTAATTTTTGTCTTAAAAAGATGTTTTGAATTGAATGAATATTTAGTCATATTTTAGCCATCAATTAATATAATATACATTGTGGAGTATTGGCTCTTTTGAACAGGATAATGTCAAAATGTTTAGTGTGATGTACATTTAATCTAAATATAAAATCAATCTTCCTTTTATCAGTTGCCTATATTCATAACATTGCATCAAAGTTGTAGTAGAGTAATAAAATTGATGTGAATTTAAAGCGTCAGGTTGTTACAATATTGCTTAATTCTAGACAGTTTATCTTACTAGACTAAACTAACCTAAACACATCTGTATATCCAATCGTATGTTAATTTGAAGTTGATGAACTTGTTGGGTCTACCCACAAATTTTCTCTTTTCACTCAATTTTTCCTTACCTAGATTTCCTTCAATTAGCAATTTTTCCTACCAAAAATTCTAATAAAAATTTTCTTTACCAACAATTTTTCCAACCAGCAATTTCCGTAACAATTTCTCTTTCCAACAGTTATTTCCCTAATCAATAATATCCCCTACCAGCATACCCCCCACCAACAATTGTTCATACCAACATTAATAAAAATAAACATTTATATAATGCATTAAATTCAAATAAGTGATAAAAACATAAAAAATATACTTAGAGCAAAGATTCATACATAATTATGTATTAATGTATATTAAACGTTGAGGGGCTATTTAAAGCAAAATATTATTATTAATATTACATCCATATGCTCAGTGCTACGCAGCATACTATCTGTCTCTTATACCATTAAACTTAATATCTTGTATCTTAAAAGTTTTTATGTATATAGTATTCTTTTGTAGTAAGAAACAGGGCTGTAAATTGGTGGTCCTCTAGACCGCAGTTTGATTGCCCACTTCCAACGTTACTTGGTTCATAGTCCTTGCAATTTGTCCTCTCAACCCTTGTTATTTCTATCCTTGTTTTCTATTCCCTTACTTTTCTTTAGTTGTAAATGCCAGCTATGATTATTCTATGAATATCTTAAAGAAATTCTTCCAAAGTTTGAAAACATACTGTACTATATTTTAGTATGAATAATGAATATCAAGTGATTCTACAGTAGTTAAGGTTCAGATCTACATGTTAAATATAAATTTCTGTTTCTTCAGTAATAATAACTGCAAGTCCAATGTTTTTAAAGATATACAGTCTATGTTGAAATATGGAAAAAAAACATTCAAATTCCTCATTTAAGAATATCAAATAAGTTATCAATGTCCAATTAGAAATATATATTTAAATATTTCAGTGTAAATTGTTTACTAGCAGTAATTAAAAAGTATAATATTATAGTGTTTATTTTGAAGGTCTGAATTATTATCGGAGAAAATATTTACTTATTCTAATTTCCAACTAAAAGCTAAATAACTTATTGAAATATAAGTACATATAATTGATTCAAATAGTACTTTTATTTTTTTTCAGGTTATTTATAAATTTCAATATAGACAGTATATCTTTAATCATATGAAAATATAAAATTGTTTACTAAGGGAATCTACATTCAGATGCAAATATATTTTTTATAATTTATGTTTTATATTGCTTGTGAAATTATAAGTTTACTATCATTATAAATTGATTTTGGTTGTATTGGTAATGGGTTTTCGTTTTTAGTGACTTGCATAGACCCAAATCACACTTAAAATAACCAGTTCAAGAGGCTGGTTATGAATGTGATCAAGGGTCATAGTTCATCACTCACAACATTTTTCGTATCTTATGTATTATTGATTGGTGGTAGTATAATAATTCCACTTATTTAACAACATTTAATATATTATAACAAAATATTATTGTATTATAATAATGCACTGTGTTGGTTGGTCTAATGAATGACTATTAATTTCAATCATAATAGATTTAATAAATTAGTCATTATTTATTAATCACTATTATTGCTTTATTTCTTTGGCTACATTTATCACTCCTAATACCGATTGTGTTTGTTACTTTTGTTCTTTTTCTCACAGACGTCAGACTTGAATAGCCCATGCTCGCTCCAGGTCCCCCAAAGCACTACACTAGGGTTAGCTGGTCAACCATGTAGTCACGAGAGTGGTGGTGGTGGTGTATATAATCAGAAGGTGATGGATGTAGGCATAAAGTTGCCGAGGCCTTAATTATTTTCTAATGAGACCATAAATATTCAAGTTTTCTTGCTTCAAACAAATTTGTATACTTTTCATATTGAAAGTAATTCATAAATATATTTCTCATACCAATTTTCTATGAGACTAAAATCCTTTTAAAAAAAATGATATGATGATCTTGTCTATCATATAACTACATTTTATAATTTATATATAAGACAAGACTTTTTCTATACACTGTTTAGCGAAATTTAATTTTTGAAGAGATCTTCAGAGGAAAATCTTCAGAGAAAGGCAGAAGAAAAAATATATATATATATAGCAGGAAATATCATGGCGGTGTGAGGTGGGATGAAAATAAAGAAAACTTTTTATAAAAAATATCCAATTTTTCACGTTGGTCAGTGCACTTATAAGCCAACAATTAAATTTTATTTTTATTAAAAATAATCATTATCCGCAGGCTGTAGGTGTGCGAAACAAGGTACGAAAAAGTCTTGTCAACAAATGAAATTTTCTGAATTATTTTTCTGGTTAGAGGATTCCTCAGTTTACTAATAAACTAATGCAAAGAAATAACTATAGCCAATAACTTAAAAACCTAATTAATTAATATATAAAATTTAAACATGTTTAAAATTTATTGAGATGTTTAAAATATTACTTAGTTTTATGTTTAGTATTTATTTTCTTTAAATTTTTTTTTGTTTCTCCATTTATTTATTTTATTTTTTTCATAATGCAAGGAAACATGAATATTTGAAGTCAAAATCTTTTACAAAATGGTCTCATAATAAAAACAATTTCTTTTCTATATTTTTCTGGCATGCTACAATTTATATAACAAAGTATAATTGATTAACCCAACCCAACCCAACATGCCTCGTCCTGCTTAACTTGCTGATGCATAAGCTTGGATAAGATGGTGTTTGGAAGTTGAAAATCATGTATGGCTTGCTTCATTTTCCAAATGCTAAAACATTTTTAATAATTATTTTTAAAAATATAAGGTATATATGTTTTTGTGATCGCTACCATGTAGATTTTCATTTGCCCTCACAAAAACACAATGTAAGTACGGTTAGTTAAATTGTTTTTTATTATCACACACATCAAATGCTCACATCAAATGTAGACACTGCCAATCCAGGCAGAGGAACATTAATCAACTTTGTACTCAATTATTTAGGCTGATACTATTGTATAAATTTATGATGAGATCAGCAATATCAAATAACATTAGAAAGTTGCTTAGACGACCAGATCAGTTTATAGGCTGACTCTCAATGCAAGTTATTAAATGCTAAGTATTAAATGTCAAAGTTACGAATACTTATATATATATATATATTTCCGTATGGTCATGAAGCACTCATTCTTTCTAATCTTCTAAAGGTTCTATCATGGTGCTGCCCATAGGCACGAGAACGTCTCATCTACAGGGGTAAAGGTGAACCAGAAAACTGGGGTAATCCTCAACCTTCAAAGTTGTTCTGATTGGGGGCGTGTACACCAAATCCTTATGCGAGAAGACTTGATTTCAGCAATTTTAAACACTTAGCTTAGAGCCCAATTCAAACCTGCACTGTTAACAAGTCTGATAGTTGCAGCGTCCTTGCTCTACTGTTTGGCCACATAACTTGCTCAAGTCACCTGGTGTTTCCAGTACGGTCTTCAGTCTATTATTCGGCCCGACATTGCTTAATTTCGGTGTTTCAGTCTGTTTTGGCCCTGGACAGGTGTTGCTGCGTATATTTAGCAAATATTAAGGGCTTTTCATTCGAGGAGTTTAGTTGCTGCTGTGTATATCATATGTTCTATGATAAGATCTAAAATATAACTTATAAAATCTACAGTCAGTTGCGAAAGTGCCCATGATGCATTTTATCCTTTATGGGCACTGTCCCCAAAAACCCTCCTATCCACATAATAAATTGCACTGCCACTGAATTCAACACTGCTCCCTTTTTATTATTTATATTAATGCCATGTGTCAATGTTGACTGATATTGACATCTAAATAAAGTATGAATTTTGTTTAAACAAAATTGTAATCCTTTTATATTTCACATTGTTACACATCATCAAAATGTCTACAGAAAAATTATTGGGTCTGAAACATCCGGATAATACTTTGTTCATATAAACTTGGGAGAGTTAATAATCACTCCTAAATTACTAAGAGGTAATGTATCAACAAACAAAATAAATAAAATTTGGCATGATGATCCAAGACACACAAAGACCAAGTTAACAAAACATCTAAGGCATCTTTGCTTGGCAGTCATGTCAGTAATGCTTGGCTTCTGTGATCCCGGACACAATAATCACCATTTGGTTTTCATTGTTTGGCTGTCATTTTATTGGCTGTCATTTGAGTAATGTTTAGTCCTCCTGAAACCTTTGACCCTAGGAAACATCAGTTGACATTTATGTGTTGAATAATAATTGTCCCCATAATCTGCACTACAAAGTTTCTCATAAAAAATCTAAAATATCCAATGAAGTTGCTGCAGAAATATGTCTGATGAATATTATTTGTTAATTATCTCATTCACATGGAACTTCCCATGCATTAGTGTAAGTGTCTCTTTCCTGTTCTGTTACAACATTAAAGATTGTGTGGTAAGTATACTGTCCTTTGATCATCAAAGGACCCAATGAAGGGTGTATAAAAGTACCCATAAAGTGGCTCATCAAATAAATAATAGGTGTAATGACAATCATAATAACCAGGTTATGCCAACGGGTGGGTTTAGGTTTTGTTTGGGGAGAAGTGCACTAATGTGTCCAACATGGTTGTCTGAGGATTTTTTTCAGAATCCAGGTTCAAAGCCATGACAATTTTGAGCCATTTTAAGCTGTATATTTTGTCCTTTTTGCCCCATCCAACAGTATGGCTTAATTATCTGTTGACAATGACGTTAAAGAGTATAGAACTGCATGCAAAATGTCTGACTCTCATGGTTTCGTTGGAATGTAATCCTATTTTTAAAATAGTTTTGAGCAAACTCCATTTGAATTCTAATAGAGCGCCAAAATGTTGTGGCAGTGACCTTGCAATAGCTGGTAGTTGTTGGTTAGAGGTACTAATTGGTTAGCAGTAATTCATTGGTAGTCATTGGTTGGCCAATCATATGTGGTATTAATGGTGCCAGTAGTAGTTATTGGTTGGAAGAACTTATTTGTTGTGCAGTCTTTGGTAGAGAGTTAATTATTGGTTAGCAGTCATGTGTTAGTATATACAAATAATGAATGTTATGAGTGTAGTGGGAAGAATATTTTCATTTGTTGAATGATTGTTCCATTCAACGAGGCGGAACTAAAATTGTACAAATACAAAACATGCTTATCCTCCGCGCAAACCTAGGCTTAGGGCTAGGCTAGAAATCTTTCAGCGCATTTCTGAAAAAAAGGAGCCGAATTGCATACAGATTTTGCGCAAGTTTGAGCTAGTTTTTAAGGTATCATCCACGCAATTAGAATACTTTATAGCTGTTTACAGTGAACAAAATCTCTGATACATTGCACACCCCTAAGACAAGTTCAGTAAGAAGTAGGCCTGAGAAAGGTTATTGGTGGCGTGACATCATTTCATGGATTTAACTGTCTGGAAAAGTCATTTCGTATGCATAGGCAATGTGCAGTGGATGATTCGGATGAAAAACAAAATGCATGGTGGAACAAAATTTCAACGATGTGCAATGAAATGGGGAAAATAACTAATTTCACTTCAACCATTCAAATGACTGGGATCTATTTAGGTGTGTTATAATAGTTATTAATTAGCATGTATGTGTTAGTTTTTGATTAAACTAAATATAATAAAAGTGGTTTTCTAATGCTGTTACAGTTAACAAATCGATGAAACTTGCATTCAAACAGAGTTCTAAATAAACTTGACATTGCCAATCAATAATTTTCAAAATGTTTTTTAATCAGTTATTTACATTCAAAGCTTGGTTTCCGTAAAAATCACCAATAACCATCGGCAGCACTGATTGGTCAGTCAAATAAGGGAGCCTACCCGATTGCATTTGGGGACAATTACACAGTATAGCGATTACATTGTAGTGACAGTGTAGTGATTTTCTGGAAACCATTTAAAATTATAGTTTATTTTCACATAATACAGACCATTAATTGGACATCTACATATTCTTGCATATAACACAACAGAAAATATATTATTGTTTATCATTATTATTATTTTTAATTATATTGTTATTAATTATGATTATTATCGTTGTATTCTTAAGGTTATTATGAATCATCCCATATATTTAAAACTTACCCTACATTATATTTTTTTAATAATTTTAATAATTCTGACATACAAATTTCTAACATTGTAGAAAATGATTTAATATTAAGTGCAATGCTGTATTATTTTATAATTTATTAATTATTTCAATCTTGAAAACTTAAATTATAATGGAATGTAACTTTATGAATTCTGACATACATACCAGTTACTACAAATACTAAATCAACTTGGTCAGTTGATTGACTAGTAGAATGATATACAGCTAATATATGTTACAGTATAACATAAGGCAACCTATTTACAATTTGGAACAATAGTTACTGTGTATGTTGAGTACTCGGTCAGTATAGCTACACTACATAAGTAAAGTACATGTTATTATTTTTGGCTGTAAGCTGTCATTTTTATATTTATTACGAGTATCAAAAACAACAGTGTACTATTAGGATATTGTACTAAAGTATTATTACCACAGTAGCTAATTGATTTAAACTTGCTAGAGTTTTTGAAATTTGGCGTATAAGTTTGTTGTCACCGTTATTGTTGGCATATCGTGACATTCATATTCTCATCTTTTTGTCACCACCATGTTTATAGTTGTCAGTGTCATCTTGTTTGTCATCGTCATCATCATTCACATCCGTATTTCCAGACACTTCCAGCAAAATATAAATTTATAACATTAAAATTTAATTTATCTGTATTAAATTCAAATTTATTTAAATTCAAATTAAGAATTTAAATATAAGTGATAGATTTTTGAATTGTGTATTTACTATAAATTTAATGAGTGAATTGATTGTTAAATTCAGATTGATTCCATTAAACTCAATTTATTGAATAATTCTATTTAAAAAAAAATCATTTTTTCTTCAGACAATTTCTGTTCTGCCATTATTGTTGTTAATATAAAAATAATAGAATTCTGACTAGGACGCTATGATGAGAATGTGTATAATTGACAAAAAATAGCTGCGTTCGGGCGCAAGAGCGCAACCATGTCAGGATTCTCCAAAAGAATAATGTAGCGATATTAAGCGTACTTCAACTATGGCACATTTTGCTCTTAATCAAAGAGGATATTGCTTTTTCAAAATTTAAAAATTGGACTCGTTAAACATTCGTTCCTCAAGTATTCTTATGAAAATTGTTTGGTTGCACATTTGAGGTAGCAATTTAGTAGCTGAATTAAAGATGTACTATCAGTCATGTGATAAAAAATTTGAAAATTTTAATTCCAAATTTAAATTGCTTAATTTGTATATTTAAGTAAGTTATGGACTTACAATAAAAAATGTGAATGAGAAAAAAATTCCCCCATCAATTTTCAGACATTTAAATAATAAATGTTACTGTACTTTTGGATAGATCCTTAAATTGAGTTCATTTGTTTTTTTATATTTACTCTTAAGAGCTGTCATCAGTTTCAAATACATATACTATTCAAATACTGTATATAATGGTATAATAAAACCCCCAAATGCAGAGTGTAGTAAGTAATCCGGATTATGCTATTGTTTAGATATGCATAGCTGCACTTGAGGGTGATATATCACAAATATAGTTGCTTCATTTCAGACACAAGCTGGAATTGAAATGGCATTTTTTTTTAACTAAACCTATTTTCAGAAGTGTCATTATATATCTTTTTTGATATTTTACAGCCTTCTAAGCCTTCAACGATGAACGGAGAGACGGATTTGTCCTTATTTCAACATGTTAGTGAAATTTCTTCAAAAGCCATCATTATGGTGGTAGACTTTGCGAAGAAACTACCGGGATTCCAAGTGCTTACGACTCAAGATCAAATCACGCTACTCAAGGCAGCTTGTCTCGAAATTATGGTACGTACGTATCACGTCAATCAGCGAGAATACTCACTGATTATAGGATAGAAACACAAGATGTGGTAATCTGTAAACTGAAGATGCAGTATAGTATAGCTCTGCCGTGTTTTATTTATTTTTGTGGGGTGAGTTGTGAGTGAATATAAGAAATCGTTGTCGTCATCTGACGGGAAAATATGATTCTGTGTTTCCAGCTTTTCAGATTGTACTCCAATATTCTTAAATTTCATTACTAAAACTGATAACTATGAATCCCAGTCTACCTCCTGAATACTATTACAGTCTGGTCTGTCTCTGAGGTATCAAAACATTTGTGGCAAAGACAAGCCAAACCACTTGTCGCAAAAATCGATATTGAGTTATTAATACAGTGTTTAAGTGCAAAATAAGAGCTATAAAATGGTAAAAAAGTCATTAAAATTCCACATTTCCTTATGGATTTACAAGCATTTAAACATACAGCTGTTTAAAGAACAATATGTAAGAAATCAGCCTTCAAAGTTTATGATTTCTGGCATTTCTCATGCAGAAACTATCATAAAATCCTTAAAAATTGTTGTTTCAACATTGAAAATGGGGAAAAAACAGCATGGCATGATGTATAAATATATAAAGGTTAGTTTAGTGCAATATCAAAAATAGATTTTTTAAATTTGGCCATTTTCTCTGAAACACGATTTGCAACGAGTGACTGGTTTGGCTTGTCTTTGCCTCATTTAAGAATACTAAGCCCCAGTGGAGTTAAGTTGATTAGCTTTGTGTTTCAGACGCCTGCCTTCCAATCCCAGGGTTCTGGGTTCAATTCCTGTCAATGTTGCAAGATTTTTCTCACGACCAAAACAACTCCACTCCCTAAACCTCATATTAAGATTTAGTTTAGTGGTATAGGACGTCAGTGGTATATTCGCTATTGGCAGTCCTTGGTGTATGTGTGTATGTACACCTAAATATATTATAAAAGAATAACTATGCTATACTATTTTGTTTCTATAATTATTGTTAATTTTAACTAATGGGTTATATTAGTTTATGTATGTATGGTTTTAAATATTTTATTTCAACATTTCTACGAGAGGGACAAAATTTGAATTATTCAACAATAGGATTAAAAGCGTGAAACAGATCCTGCAGAACGAATGGACTGTGGAAGGTCATTACAGGAATGAGAAGTGCAAAAGAAAACGCTCTGAAAACCCATAGATTACGCATTTGGTGTTCTTCAAGAAGGTGTTTGTCTGATGAGTGCAGATGTCTTGATGGAACATATAGGTTTAGCAGACTCGAAATGTACTTTGGTGATGCATTGTGCAAGGATTTATATGTAATTAGGGCAATTTTATTTGTAATTCGAAGTGGAGTAGGGAGACAGCGTAACCCTTTCAAAATTGGTGCGATATGTGCCTGCTTCTTTGTCTTGGTAATAAGTCGAGCTGCTGTATTTTGAACTCGTTGAAGACGTTTGAGTTGAGTAGTTATCTTGTATCTTGTAAAATATTGGTGAGTATTTTTTTAATATAAATTAATTCATTAATATTGAATTGTTACTTAATAATTTTCACAGATTTTAAGGATATGTTCTAGAGTTAATATGAAAGACGGCAGTGTGACATTTACCAACGGTCTACGGTTAACGCAAGAACAACTGAAGAGCGGAGGATTTGGCGCCCTCTTGGACACCATCTGTCAGTTTGCTGGCGCATTGACAAAGATGAAAATTGACGAGACGGAAGTTTCATTATTGGGAGCAATTTGTTTGATAAGTTCAGGTATGTGCAGTTTAAATGACATGACACACATTTTACTTGAGTGCTTACAAGCATGCATCTAAGCATACTTGTCAGCATTTGTGCTGAGATAAAACATAAGATATGCACTACATTTATAGCCAAACTTTGAATGGACAGATCTGGATGATTCCATTTAAATGGATAGACGAATGTAGGTTTAGTCTCTTGTGGAGTGTTGATTTATAGAAAAAATCTACACGAAATTTAAGATATTCAAGGAAATTTGAATTTTATTCTTTACAAAAGCCTATCTGCATGATGCATACACATACATAGATATTTAAATAATACACAGCAATAAATAAGTAAACAAAGGAGATAAATATGAATAAAAGTAAATATGAGCATTGTTAATTGCTTCGTGTTAATTTAAATTGAAATTATTCTTTTTTCTTCTCAGATTGATCTGGTTTGAATGTTTTATTCAAAATTGAGAAAATAAATATAAAGATTGTTGTTTTTGTTGTGTTTCTTGCTCATATAAACTAAATAAAAAATGATGATGGTGTAATTCTTTTTCCTTTTTTGAGATCGATCTGGCTTGAAAGATCCAATCAAAATTGAGAAAATGCAAGAACCACTACTTGAAGGCCTGCGGTACTATGTAAGAAAGAGACGCCCTCTTGAGCCACACATATTTGCTAAGATACTAATGAAGATAACAGACCTCCGAAGCATCAGTGTAAAAAGTATGTCATACTTTGAACAGAATTTTTTCTTGTGCCCCACATTTTTGCTTAGCAATTTGTTCTCCAATTTCATACTGAAATATCTTCATGACATTCTTGTAAATTATATAATTTATACTTGTTAAGACATATGGGACGATAAAAATGCTTAGGCATTTGAAATATTTAAAAATATTTCCCCCTTCAGTAGTATAAAATATAAAACTCTAATTTTGTAATAACAGTCTACTATTATTTTTATTTTTTTGCTTCACTTCAATTTACTGAAATTTATATGGCAGTTAAAGCCAGGCTCTGGAGGAAAAAATATTTTGATATAAATTGTAGAACTGATATTTCCAAGGCACAAAAAGGGTGTTTGATGAAAAACTGGAAAGGGTTAATGAGATAACATATTTTTTATATTTTTAAACTAAGGGAAAAAAGGGTGGTTATGCTCTGTGTTCCCCAGTCTCAGTCAGTATCTTTTTATTCTACATTCCCTTAAAAATCTGTTATTTTTGATAATTTCCACTACTGCTGTACTCTCATAGTGAGACTTGGGGCTGTCCCAGATATTTTACAAACAGTGAGGGTTTGAATGGTGACAATTGAGTGAAGGTAGTGTCCTACACTCTGAGTAACCATTGCTACCTAAGGTAGGATGGTTCAGTTGGCAGAGTGCCACCATGATTTTCTAAAGGTCATTGGTTCAATTCCAGGAGTGGTACATTATTTTTGCTCTAAATCTTTGTTTACATTTGAAGTGATTAATGATTATTATTTTTACATTTTACCTTCATTGATAATTTGGTGTATATTTTTTACCCACCAGGTGCGGAGAGAGTGTTACATTTGAAAGTTGAAATACCTGCAGAATTTCCAGCTCTTATAACTGAAATGATTGATCGAAATGATGACGATGATTAGATTAATTTAATAATTAATTTTAAAAAGACCTTGTTTCAAGCTGAAAAGAACAATGCCAGAAACTATAATAAATTCAGATTTTACTGTCATTAAAAAAATAATAATAAATGATACAAATATTTATGAGCAGCAGTTGAATTAGACATGGCATGAACTGTAATACCAGATGATATAGTACTGAAATACAATGTTTTAATCAAGGCGGATTAAATATGATGGCCCTGGTTATTGTTTCAAGGATTTTATACAAATCCGAGGTGCTGATTGGTGGAGTTGGCTGAACCCAAACCTTAAACTTCAGTCTTGCTATCTGTAACATGTCGAAAGCATAACAATTCCCTAATGGGAAGCCTGTAGCTTTTGAACAAGTGGTTTGAAACAGTGAAATCCCAGCATTTCTGCAAGGTTGCAGAATATATAGCGAGTGGCAAGATAATGCCACAGCTTGTATCTATATTTTGAGGGATTGATACTACGAGCGAAATCCAAAGTGAGCAAAGGTCAAGTTTATTTTATTTGTTATACACGGAAGCAACATGAGGATTATTTTCCCGGTTCAATGTCAGATAAATAAAATTGATCATCATCTTGCAGAGAACGTTACATCTGTTTCACCCAGTCACATTCTGCTGTTTACGTCACATGACTGAAGGATAGCTTCAGGTTTATGTACAGATGAACGGACAATTTTCAGCTCTTGTCTCGGGTACAAACATAGAAATGATATCATAACTGGTCGTTCAGTCCTTTCTAGTCCAGAATTGGTCCCGTAATGTATACTTGAGACCATTTTTTGCTTACACAATTTTTGTTACATCATCTTATTTCAATCAGGGTTCTTCAATATGCAAAGAATATCTCCATTAGGTTGATTTTAATTTATAGATAAAATTATTTCCAGATATATATCACATTTTTCTTTTAAATGGGGATAGAATTTCTCAGTAAAAATATATTCAGCATTAGTTATTTTTATTACATAAATTTGTATTGACCTTTGATAATTAAAAAGGTCAGAGTTAAAATTAACAAAAATGATAGTTTATCAGTCTATAGAATTTAATGATAAAGCATACACGTTCAAATACAAAGAATGATTACTTAATTCTGATAAAGTGGATTTTTAAAATGTATAGTGTGATGGTGGGGAGGATCAATAGATTTATGTAGCGCCCCCAATGTTTATCGTATTACGGTGCTGTATTTTAAATAACCAGTAACAAGCTAAGCACAGTAGGTCAACAAGTATGGGCTTGGAAAGTATTAGTCATTTTAGCATGGCCATCTAGGCTAAGTCTCCGGTCTGTGCAATGTCAAATTGTCTAGACTAGCAAAAGTCAGAATCTTTGGGCTATGGTCAAACTACAGTCTCAAGCCTTGTTCAACTCAGTACAGAGAAACTTGTTGTCTGGACCAACCTGTGTTGACTTATGCCTGGCTTGAAATTGTTCTCAAGCCAGACAGCTCAACCCAGGCAAGGTATCCAGGTTGACCCTGGGTTGACCTAGCAGGTAAGTATGGACACTGGACAAGTCAAGTCAGGCTAGAGGCTCTAGTATGACCATGACCTTGGACACCTTTTCTAGCCATGCTCTCTTCAGAAGTGATGGTCACCTTGACTAGGTCAAGTATTCTGAGGTAATCATTATAATCTGGGCCAGACATGGTCACCTGAACTCTGTATCTTGGCTAGCCATGGTCACCTGGGCTAGGTAAGGTATTATAGGCTATTCAGATGGTCACCTGCACTAACCATAGTCACTTCAGTAGTCAAGATCACTTAGACTAGGTCAAGTATTCTGGCTGTCATATGATCATCTGACCCAGCCATGGTCACCTGACTTGTAGTTATTAAAACATTTTAAAATTATAATAATATTGATTAAAATAAAATCTTGCCATTAAAGTTTAATTTGGGCTTAACTTCAAGGTTAATTAATTCCATCATACATCTGTGTTGTTAAAAGCTGCTCATCGCTATAATCAAACTTTATTTTTAAAGCTTTTAAAAGTGTGTATTATAATTATATTTTTTTTATGTGAAGTTATGGTGCCATTTTCAGTGTATCTTTATGCGCAACTATTTTGAATGGCCTTTTGATTTGAGATGATTATTTGGTCAAAAATGAGTCAAACTTCTTATATCAGTTTCACATAATTATGTTGTCTTAGAAAACAAATTTTTGTGTTTGACTTATGAATTTCATTATCAGACTGAAATTCTGTGATGGTAATAACAATCATTAATCACTAATATTGTTTTTTTATATATATTTTATTCTCAAAATGTGGGAGTGTACTATTTAAGGATCGCCAGGCATTATATATATATATTTTTTTTTTCTTGATCAAGAATTGAATTTGTCCATATTTCTTTCCAATTATGATTACTTTATTATGTTTAATATTAATATACTATTTATATAGGTCTTCCAGCATATAATTTGAGCAGAAAAAAACAATATTTTTATTCATTTTTAAAATCATCAAACTTTAAGTATGTCTTATAATTTATTTCAACTGAAAAAAAGGCGGTGGTTATAGTCTTAAATGAATTTCTAATTTGATTGGACGTTATTGGCCTAACAAATTAATGAATACAGTAACATCCAATCAGAATTCAGAAGACTGATATAACAATAGACACTGCTTTAAAAAATTAAGTTACATCAAGATGTAAAAATCAGATATTGCCATTTATCCTCTCTTTAAAAGCTCCAAACTGTATTTATTACAAAAGCTCAATTCCCTATAGGGCACCAGTTAAATTTTGTTTCGTTCAGTACGCTTGCCAACACAAGCTCTCTAGTAACAAATGCGATATACTAACTTTCTGATGTTTACTTGGGCTGATTTTAATATAGTTGGCTATGGTCATGCCATTGATGTTTTTTAACTTGCACATTCAAATGTTTATTCATGAACTAATTTGAATATGTAAATTGATGCAAATTTGAGCAAGGTCAGAAACAGGATACAGTTTTTACAAATGCTTCTTGCAGTGTTTTGATAATCATATATTATTATAATGTATATCTTTTTTTAATGCCTGAAATATAAGTTAATTGTGTCTGTGTCTCTCCTCGTAGAGGAAATGTTTAAGGAAATACTTTACAATTTTTTCATCTTTTTTAATTATTAAAGAATGTGTTTCTGTAATGAATAATCAATAGAAAGATACATGTTCCATATCAAGAGGGATAAAAACGTGACTAGCATTTCCAAATTAGGACGTGCTCTTCATAAATATAACATCTGTAGAATAAATTGTGGAGTATTGTGCACTAAAAAAAAGAATATAAAACATAATTGACTGAATCGAACTGATAAATACTTGATTAGGTCACTATGAATAATCATGAGAGATATGAATATATTACTTGTCCATGTCAACTTGGAAAGACTGATTATGTATTATTCATTATGCCAATTTTTAATAATCATGAATATTTATGATGTCAAATATGAATAGTCATATTCTGTTGACAAATTATGAATATTTATAAATAGGTCAATCATGAATATTATATGTACAGGTTCAGAGCAGCTTTATCTTAACATCATTTCATTTTTATATAAATAGATTATAAATAACTATAATTTGAAATGAATTTTCTCATATTTATAATTGCATATATATTTCTTTCAGCTGACCCAATAGAATTTCATCTATTGATCTGAAAACATACAAAAGTATGTTTGGCAATGTTATAGTTGTATTTAATCATTATATCATCATCTACGTTACTCAATACAAGCATGTTCCGTTAGTAAAGCTTCTGTTTTATTTGTATTTTTATCATTTGTAACTTCATATCATTGCTGGGGTACTGATTACCGTACAGTGTATATCGGTATAAAAGTAATAATGTTTATATTTGGTAATGGAGAACGCTTATTCACCCTTACAGGTGTTTTTAACAAGGCTGCTTTGAAGTAATAATCTTTACTGCAAAGTGGTTGTGCCATATTAATGATGAAATTATTAAGGGATGATTTTGTTGTTAAATCCGAGTTATCATTTTAATGATATGTATCTTAAGTTGAAAGCTAAAAAAATGGGAAATCTTTAGCCTGGTTCACACGAGAGTTCTAGTATCCGGATCGGGAACCGTTAGCGCTAACCGTTAGCACCTGTGTGAGAACGCCTGATTGGTTAGCGCTATCCGGATACCGCGTTTCTATCATTTACCAATCACATGTATGCGTTTACAATTCCCAGTTTCTTATTGGCCAGTTATTCGATCATCATATTCTTGGTATCCGGATAGGGATTTTTTCGTATGGACGCATGGCAGCTTACGGTTTAACCTTTAGCTGCCGTGTGAGAACATAGGCTTTTTGTTTTGTATTACTCAAAATATATTTGTCATGTTGACTATGTATTCGAGAAAAACTAAGGAGCCACGAATAGTATCAAGTATACTGTATGTACATATGAAATGGGGACTGTGTGTGTGTGTTTCCACTATTACTATTATTAGATTGAAAGATACAAACTATTGCCTGTATTCATGTAAAGTGTATTTTTGAAAGAAAAAAAAAGATCTAAGAAATAACCGTTTTTAGAAGGTTCTAAATTTGTTGAATTGAATGTGTTCTGTTGGAACATGATTTGTATACATCGTGGGGCTGTATATTGGCTTAATCCTGTTAGCATATGTATGGTCATGCAAACCAAATAAAAATATCTCAATCACAGGTTTTGTACCTTTGCTCATTCCTTATATTGTTTACTACAGTATATACCACATACATAGATTCTAAGCATCTGATTGGTTAAGATGTGGGCAATAGAAAGTACTATCACCCTATGATGATAGTACTTTTTGCCCTGTCGCGCGATTTGCAATCTCTAGGCCACGTTGCTATATAATTTATGACACACGAACAGTAAAGGAAGACTCCACCTCTACGACGTTAGTGAGAGATTTGACTATGATCACCTAGGCCTAGGAAGTAAGCCTAGGCCTACCTGGTGTGTACTATTTTTATTACTTTTTTAGGTCTCGAATAATCAATGTATGAGGTATATGAAACAAATATTGACTACTCGAGATTCGGGATATGGTGAAATCTATAGCCCCTCAGTAATCACATTGCCTCGGGGCAATAGATTTCAGCATTCCCCTCATAAGCTCAATATTTGTGTAATATTTGTTTGTTTATTTGTGGTGGGAATAGGGTTCACTACCATGAAATAATGTTATAAAAGTTTAGTCATATATTATTGGCTTTCTCTTTGACTTGCTTCTTGCCGAAAACCCTCACTCTGTTGCAAATCCTCAGGTTACTGCTTGATGGTGGTTGTGCATAAAATAATAATCTGTATGTACAGTAGGCCTACATATTATAAATTAATGCACATGACAGTGTGTAAATAATAGTAGTAAAAATATCCAAACATTCTGAATTTGGAGATGAGTTTTTCGGTAGAGAGGAACACAGTGTCAATTTAAGGGAGACTTTTGCGACTCGCAAGAGAAAAGTGGGACCTCTGCATTAAACTATAATGAAATACTGTATATTGTAATATATCATCATCATCTGCTATGCTGTTTTGTCTTAGGTAGTCATGGCGTACGCTAATCGTTTCCATGACTCTCTGTTGTTGTACGGTCTGTCAATTTTACAATACTAGTGTGTATATTCTTTTTAGTTTCTTATTCATTGTTGTTCATTCTATTATATAATATAGTAAGTTTTTATTTTTTTATTAAATTTCCAATCACAAAATTATTAGGATTTGATACATCAGCTGAAAAACTATGGAAATAGTGGCTTAGTTGCTGTGAGGCACTGAATTGTTTTAACCATTTCATGGTAGTTGCTGGTAACAGAACACTATCACTTGCTACTGTGATGTAGTAATGTAGTACTATATTAATCCAGAAAACTGTTAATAAAGTGCCGGAAACATTTCGCCCTCATTCTCCTTGAATCACATGGTTTGATATCCAATCCCTTTTATACTTCAGCCTCACTTATCCAAGTTGAATAGACAGATTATATTGGCTATCCCTCAAGCAAATGTCATATTACATTTGGAGCTGTATTCACCAGTGGTTGAGGAAACATTCTTAGCACATCCATTCTACAATACACTGATGAACCACACATTCAATCCGTCAAGTTTGTCACAATGAATTTTGGCCTGCATTTACCAGTGCCATTTGAAACATCCCTAACTCTTACTTTCTACAATAGAATGTAATGACCCACATACAATCCCTCAAGTTTTTGTCATAATGAATTTGGACCTGCATTTTCCAGTCATCCCTGTTTCATTATACAATAGACTGATGACCCCTACACAATCCCTCAAGTTTTTGTCATAATGCATTTGGGCCTTCATTTACCAGTCATCCCCGTTTCATTATACAATAGACTGTGATGACCCCTACACAATCCCTCAAGTTTTTGTCATAATGCATTTGGGCCTTCATTTACCAGCGCCATTTGAAACATCCCGAACTCTTCCATTCTTTACCGACTGTAATGAACCACACAATTTTTAAATTTTATTTTGAACGCTTATTTGTCTTGATGTTTGTATCAATTAAACAATTGATTTCTCACAAATTTAATGCAACAATAATAACAACACTGAGCAAAAAATAATATTAAACTGCATTATTTACTGGACTACATAATATGAAATTCAGTCCACCCCTGTGTGCACTGTAAGAAAACGCAAAAAAATAGATAAAAATTGCGTCACTGCGTAGTTCTGGAATCATTAAGCTGGGCACTCACTGTGCCAGTCTTCTGCCGATGCGATTCTGTGGAGAATGCAGTGCCAGAAGGTGCGTGCAATGAATCGCTTTTAAATAGTCAAAATAGCTATACCTGTGGCTTGGTGGTTAAGATACTCGCCTTCCAATACTGATGACGTGGGTTCAATCCTGGCTAAGAATTGATTCCACAATCCTGATAAACAGGATTTTTATTGCATTGAGGGGTTTCGTTTGATGGGTCACCCTCATCATATATGGAATAGTCGCATTAAAAGTGGTGATTGGACAATATTTCATTGTGCTACAGTAGTTGAGTTAGCTCAGATGACCATAACTAGCCAATGTGACCATGGTTTACCTCAGGAATACTATTGAGTCATTGTAATACTGAACAGTGTGTCACATGTGATACGAATTTTCTTTCTATTCTCAAATGCATTGATCTCTCACCTTTAACAAATGTTATTGATTCATGATTCATTCGTAAGAGATTCTTGGTCTTGATGCCAAATTCCTAGTACTGTAGCTGTTTGAACTTAATATGAACTTCTAGAAGATGTAACGATTAGTATGGTAGCTACTTAAGAGTGCTTCAGAGTTGAAGCTGGTTCAGCATGGAGGGTGTTAGGATATTGGCAGGTGGTTATCTAAATTGTTTTTTCATTAGATTATAAATTACCATCTCATTTCTGAGAAGTGAAGCAACAGGGAGGTAATATCTGTGGTTGTCTTCATGATCTTATTGTGGGGGTGGAAGGCCAGCTATTGAAATGTTGTTTTGGTTTTACTGATAAAAATGAGTAAATCTAGTTATAGTACTACTGTACAGTGTTACACATGTACTCTACAAACTACCATCTACCAATGAGCAATGGCAGCACCAGGGGAGGGGGTGTTAGGGATGGAAGGGGGTTTAAGCTTCCCAGCCAGACAAGCCAAGCCCTTGACAACCATGACTCCTTAGATCGAAAATGAGAACCTGTGCTAAACATCTCAGAACAGTTTAAAATGGCCTAGAATTACCCAGTATTCTATGCACCAGGGGCCTCCTGCTCCCCACCAGGGCTTCGTCCACAAACTGCACTGGCCTCTTTCAGGAATTGTTGGATTCACAGCTTTTTAGCAAATCATGATGGCCAAAAAGAATACAGGTGAACATTGCAGCTATTGATTAATGCCATGAAGTTGACAAACAGAAAATGTCCTTATAAAAATACTTGAAAAATACATTTAAAATTCTACATTGCAACATATCACGGTGTTATTTGTTGTTATTTCAAATTTTTGATTGCTTCAGATTTACAAAAAAAATGTCTGTACAATATATTATATCCGGAATGCTTTTTGTATTGTTAAGCAGTCTTGCAACCATACAACTTTCTCAATGAGTTCAAATCGCAATCAATCTTAGTCTCCAGACCACATTCAAATGTCCTTTGCAATTTATCCATTAACTCATCCCGATCTTTCTTCTCTTCTTTGCTTAAAAAGTCAATCGATAAGCTAAACCGGTTTGTATTTGACAATTGCCAAAGAATAAGAAATACATTTTCCAAATTATCTTCTGTAAAATATAAGTTGAAAAGCTTCAAGATTTCTCCAAGTAGACCAAAACTGATTTCATTTTTGAAAATTGAAAATAGCTGATCGGCATTAAATTGAAGGAGGTAGTTGTATTTTTCTTGTTCGCATTCACCTAATCGCTTCCATTGTTGTATAAATTCATGTCCATTGCTTGGTAATTTTGTGGATACCTTGAAGATAATAAAGAGCGTAACATCTAATTAGCAAATTATGAAGATAACATAATTACATCAAATAAACATGTCTATTCTTTAATACTGTAATTACAATGACACTTAATTTAAAATACAATGTATTAAAATCTGAAAAACCCTTCACAAAAATTTATTAAACTTATCAAAAGAATGCAGTTTTCCCAACAAAATCCTTAAATTGATTACCAGCCAATATAATAAGGGATGTAAACAATACAGTGCACCTCCAATTCCGAGATCCCTCTAATTCAACGCTGCTTTTTTTTTTTCAAAGAACCAAATAATCATTAAACTTTTAACACAGAGACAACCCTCTAAGTGGAGACGGAACCCAGAGAACACCCCAAATCTCAAAGTGGTCTTGAATTGGAGGGCGAACTGTATATGAATGTTATTATCTTATTCTTAGTTTTCAATTGAAAAATGATTTTTTTAAATATACAAGGCAAACAAAACAAATTATTTATTTTAGTACAAAATTAATAATAATAATAAAAATAACAATAATAGTTCCTTCTTATATAGCACATAAAGCAATCTCTATGCATTGTACATATAAACATACTGTAATACAGATATAATGTTAAATTAATGAAAAACTTAGTGGAAAAGGAAGGTCTTTAGTTTGGTTAAGAATCAGTAGCATCTCACCTTTAGAGATTCATTCTTCCTGCTTTCAAGATCTGTATTGGAAAGTGTGCCTCCATAAGGGTTCCATGGTTGCTGTCTAGGTCGTCCCAATCCTTCCTTATCACCTCTATCAAGGGGCTTCAAATGAGATGCGGCTACAATATCCCTGAAACAATATGAATATGACAGCATTTTAATTTTCTTTCATAATATACCGTAAAACCTCGAATTGAAGCCCTGGGCTTCTTTTCTTTGCGAACATTGGATGGGGTTCTTTTCAAGATGGGCTTCTTTTCAAGACTGCTTTTGCAAAGTGAAGAGGGAGTTTTTTCCAAAATGAATGCTGTAAATTTTGTGAATTTGTACTATAAAACAATGAATAAGGCCACTGTAACATCAATCTGTATCATGGAGTAGATTTAACTGGCATTAAATCACCTAAACTACTGTATAAACCAAGCTTGTATTTAATTTATTTTGTTTTCTGAAATTCATGTACAGTGTATGTACTGTAATATCTCGAAAAAGAAGCCTATGCTATCTCAAAAAGAAACCCATGGGTTTCTTTTTGAGATGGGCTTCTTTTCGTGGCTAATTTTGTAAACTAAAATTTGAGATTGGCTTCATTTCGAAATTAAGCCCACTGGGCTTCAATTTGAGGTTTTACGGTATACAAAAGAAAAATATCTTGTTTGGCTTAAAATTTTAAAATACATTACAATATAAAAATAATAACCACTACAAAGAGCTAATACCATCAAGAAACAGAAGAAGCAATGATCGGTCACATATTGCGACACAAAGGTCTTATGAAAGACGTGATAGAAGGAAGAACTGAAGGGAAAAAGACCAAGAAGAATGAGGAGAACGATGTTGGACGACATTAAGGAAGGAAGACGTGTCCACAAGATAAAGTGGGATACACAGAACCGGGAGTACTGGAGAATGTCATGAGGGAACTGTCTTCAGCAGAACCCTGTTGACGACAATTTGAAAAAGGAATAGTATTTGAGCGAGTACAGTAGAACCTCGATTTTACGTACGGTACGGGACCGGAGGGCGTACGTAAATCGGGGGATTCGTAAAATAGAGGTTGGGTTAAATTTGTGGTAACCTTTGACCTAATACGTACGTAACGCTCAATATACGTATGTATGAACGAACGATGTTCTAGCTAAGCTAGACCAAGCCTCTAGGCCTACGAATAAAACCATGTGTTTAGTGTTTTTATTCATCACTTTACGATGTAATAAAGTGTTAAAATAAAACCATGTGTCTAGTGTATTAATTCATCACTTTATATCTTTTATTTAACTAAAGAACATGAAGATATTGTAAGATTACCTATACGACAAAGGTATAACTTGGGAATTCCCCTTCGTGCGTATTTTAAACAACAGAGCTGTGGTGTTGTCTGGGCCTGTTGAGACAAACTAAACCCATGTGCGCTGCACTGGGCGAGCCAACCAATTAGCGTTCGTGTACGTGAAACATCAACTATGTGCACTGCACTGGACAAGCCAACCAATTAGCGTTCGTGTACGAAACTATGCCTACTCAGGTTCGTGTAGAAAATTCGACCAGGCACGTGTTTCCATGGTTTGCCACACGAAGCTAAGGAGGAAAGCAATTATTTTGAGCACCATCGGTAGTTGTTCATCTCACTCAGTTCACGTGGTTTTAGATTATAACAACCCGGTATTAGGCTCCATAAACGTTGCTGTTTAATTAAAATACGTTGCATTATGGTTTGTTTATTGTTATAGTTTATTGTTATAGTCTTTTTACTTATGGTTGCTCTGAAGAGGGCTGTTTGTTTGGAATATTTTCGGGGTTTTTGATGACGTCATCGTCGATACGAGGCGTACGTAAAACCGAGGGTTCGTATAACTGGGGTACGTAAAAACGAGGTTCTACTGTATATTTAATGGCATTATTTGATAGAATTGATGAATTATTAAGCATAGCTTATATAATTATGTCTGATAAACAAGGCTATATGACTGTGTTAACATTTATAACTTAAGAAAAAAATCTACTACTGTATGTATTATAAATAATAATAATAAAGTTCAATTTGATATAAGGCAAGATAACAGAAAGCATATAATTGATGGGACAAAAAGGACGGGAATAAAACAAGCAATATCATCAGAAGTACTTCAGTATTACTAGTATTCCAATCACACTAACCTAAACTGTTCATATGTTTCAACACGTTGCTCAACTGCTCTGAACTTGGCATCATTTTCTCTCCAGTATTTTGCATCAGCTTCCATAGCATATGAAAGTTCCTTTTCCAGTTTCTGGAAGTCTATTTTGTCTTCATTTGGATCTGCCATAATGCCTGCAGTAAAAAACAAAACAACATTTAGAAAGAAGCTGTTAGAAAGAAGCATGCAGCATTGGAACGCCAGATTCCGAATTAAAGATTATTACATGCTGCAACAACCAGGGAGGGGACCAGCTACTAGGCATTGCTAGCATTTTTGTGTGCACGTCGAGAAAGCCCTACCTGCTTCCATTCCACATGCTCAGCTCAGGAAAATTGAATTACCTTAAATTGAATTTAATATCTTATAAAAATATTAATTATAGAAAACTCCTCCATATTAGTTTATTACATTTATAATATATTTATTTATTTATATGTCCAGCCTAAACATAGACATAGGCCTAAGCCTATTGAATCAGGTATAAAAGTTAGCCACTGCACTGTATCATGAATCATCGCATTTTTCCTAGGCTCCTAGGAGAGAACTTTATTTACCTGGTGAATGAGTCTTGATTGAGCCAAATGAAAGTCTATCTAGCCTAGCCTAGAGGGCCTAAAAATTGACGACTATGGTAGGCCTTTATACTGAATTTTACACAATTAAAACAAGTCACATTACGTAAACTCATTTACAGAACTGGAAACAACATCGTACGTAACAATGTTCAGTTGTTATTTTCGTCTTAGCAAAGTAATGGATCCTCGGTCTTAGTTGTTACGGACGCTCTCCTCCAGCGTAGTTTTTTTATAATGCAAGTTTCCTATACTTCGGGCCCGACGTACAGGGCGCCCTTTTGTTGCTAAGTACAGAGCCATATATATAAAGAGTTGCGACATTCCGCTCCTTGGTTTACGAAAGTCACGTGGTACACACCGTCCATTTTGTTTCATAATCTTCCCGATGAACACATGCAAAGTATATGCGTTACGTACATTGCAACATGCAAAGTATATGTGTTACGTACATTGCATATTAATTTCACACACTTAATTGGGTTTACAATTATATTTTATAATTAACATCACTTAGTATGGACAGCGTATAAAAATATATATATAATCGAATATTTGCGCGCGTGCGTGCTCGCGTAAATTCCATGCTCGCGTAAATTATTGGAATGAATTAGAATTTTTTTTCAATTATCGTTAATTCGTCACATTTTTAATCAACGAAGACTGAAGACCCAGC